ACAGTCAGTGGTACAGTCAGTGGTACCGTCAGTGGTACAGTCAGTAGTACAGTCAGTGGTACAGTCAGTGGTACAGTCAGTGGTACAGTCAGTAGTACCGTCAGTGGTACCGTCAGTAGTACAGTCAGTGGTACAGTCAGTGGTACAGTCAGTGGTACCGTCAGTGGTACCAGCAGTAGTACCGTCAGTGGTACAGTCAGTGGTACAGTCAGTGGTACCGTCAGTAGTACAGTCAGTGGTACCGTCAGTGGTACAGTCAGTAGTACAGTCAGTGGTACAGTCAGTGGTACAGTCAGTAGTACCGTCAGTGGTACCAGCAGTAGTACAGTCAGTAGTACCGTCAGTGGTACAGTCAGTGGTACAGTCAGTAGTACCGTCAGTGGTACAGTCAGTGGTACCGTCAGTGGTACAGTCAGTGGTACCGTCAGTGGTACAGTCAGTGGTACCGTCAGTAGTACAGTCAGTAGTACAGTCAGTGGTACAGTCAGTGGTACAGTCAGTAGTACAGTCAGTAGTACAGTCAGTAGTACAGTCAGTAGTACCGTCAGTGGTACAGTCAGTGGTACCGTCAGTGGTACAGTCAGTGGTACAGTCAGTGGTACAGTCAGTAGTACAGTCAGTAGTACAGTCAGTAGTACAGTCAGTAGTACAGTCAGCGGTACCAGCAGTAGTACCGTCAGTAGTACAGTCAGTGGTACCAGCAGTAGTACAGTCAGTGGTACCAGCAGTAGTACCGTCAGTGGTACAGTCAGTGGTACAGTCAGTAGTACAGTCAGTGGTACCGTCAGTAGTACAGTCAGTAGTACAGTCAGTGGTACAGTCAGTGGTACCAGCAGTAGTACAGTCAGTAGTACAGTCAGTGGTACCAGCAGTAGTACAGTCAGCGGTACCAGCAGTAGTACAGTCAGTGGTACAGTCAGTAGTACCGTCAGTGGTACCAGCAGTAGTACAGTCAGTGGTACCAGCAGTAGTACAGTCAGTAGTACAGTCAGTGGTACCAGCAGTAGTACAGTCAGTAGTACAGTCAGTGGTACCAGCAGTAGTACCGTCAGTGGTACCGTCAGTAGTACAGTCAGTGGTACAGTCAGTGGTACCGTCAGTAGTACAGTCAGTAGTACAGTCAGTGGTACCAGCAGTAGTACAGTCAGTGGTACCAGCAGTAGTACCGTCAGTAGTACAGTCAGTAGTACCGTCAGTAGTACAGTCAGTGGTACCGTCAGTAGTACAGTCAGTAGTACCGTCAGTGGTACAGTCAGTAGTACAGTCAGTAGTACCGTCAGTAGTACAGTCAGTGGTACAGTCAGTAGTACAGTCAGTAGTACCGTCAGTGGTACAGTCAGTAGTACCGTCAGTAGTACAGTCAGTAGTACAGTCAGTGGTACCGTCAGTGGTACAGTCAGTAGTACCGTCAGTAGTACCGTCAGTAGTACAGTCAGTAGTACAGTCAGTGGTACAGTCAGTGGTACAGTCAGTAGTACAGTCAGTACTTGGGATAGTACTCCAAGTAGAGGTCTCTGACGTGGCGGTCTACGCGTTTTGTGACGCAGTAAGAAGGTGATTGGCTTTGATGGCTGTCAGTCAACAGACCTGATGTTGTGATTGGCCAGCTCGGTGATGAAGGCGGTCTCGGCCGGGGTGAGGAAGATGAGGCTGCTTCCTCTTCCTCCGATCCGAGCCGTCCGACCCACGCGGTGAACGTACTCTGCTGCTGCCGTCGGAGGAGTGTACTGAAAACACAAAGTCGTGTGGTTACACAGCCCGCAGAGAATCCCAGGCTCCGATTGGCCGGAAGGCCGGACCACAAACAGATTCACCAGTGAAGCCTTCCTAGAGAACCAATCTGAGGAGGTAGAATCCCTTCCCGAGGTGTTGGACAGAGACACATATCATATTAAACCAGTTACCTGAACGATCCAGGTGACCTGCGGCAGGTCCAGACCTCTGGCTGCTACATCCTGAAACACACAGTTGCTATGTTACAACACATGGTTCACTTTAACATACGGGTACTAGTTTTATGGGGGGGGCGTACCGTGCACAGCAGGACTCCACACTGACACACCGAAAACTGCTGGAAGACCTCGGAGCGCTCCTGGAGGAGAAAACAAACACACCCACGCTGACTCTCAGCCGATCGCCAAAAACACTCGAGCCGAGCCAGGAGAGCGGAGAAGCGCTCTTACCTCCTGCTTCATGTTGCCATGGAGACGCAGGAAGCTGATCCCAGGCTTCTGACTGGCTGGGGGCCCCGAGAGGACGGAGGTGAAGAGGGAGTGGAGGAACTCGACGGCCTCGCAGCTCGAGACGAAGACGATGACTTTGTTGTTCTGGGAAAACTGAACGAAGACAGTCTGTTAGTTCAGGGCGGCGGCAGGTTGGGAATCAGCTGGCAGCCAATCAGGTCGCTGCAGCTAAATCGACCCGAGCCATTTCCTGATCGCAACGGTTTGATGAAAACTAGACCTGTCAGGGGGATCTGGTCAGAGTCTTCTTAGAGCTTCAAGTCTGTTTCTACCATATGTGTGTACAAGTACACAAGTAAAAACTACATATTCATGTTACAAATGTTTTTACCTTGCATTTGTCCAGTATGAAAGCAGCCAGACACACCAGTCTGATCTTACTGGGAACCACCACCACAAACTGCTTCAGAGCCTCTGGTATAGCAAAGCTCTCCGATTGGCTGGCAGCGCTGGGGTCAGAGGTCACGGTAGAGCCGGTAGAGAGGTCAGAGGAGGCGGGGCCAGACACGTGGATGTGGACGGGGTCGCTGAGACAAACATCTGCCAGCCGAGTCACGGCTGAAACACAGCAGGAAGGCAGACCTCAAACTACTGAGCCTCCCCTGAAACGGTCTGGAGCCCAGCGTTGATTCAGGATCTCAGAACAGAAAGTGCATAACGGGACCGCCAAGGACAGAAGAGTCCCTGAAGAGTGAGAGGAGGACTTACCGTGAGTCAGCGTCGCGGACAGCAGCACGTTCTGCCTGCTCGGGCCTGCAGAGTTCAGACTGTTCAATATGACGGTCAGATCCTTCTCGAAGCCCAGGTCCAGAGTCCTGAACACACACACAGGGGGAATGACGGCCATGGTCTGAAGATTGCTAATCACCTGAGTGCAGAAATCTTGTTATCAAACGCTAAAAACTCGCATGTTTCTGTGAGAACTCGTCGGGTTTTGGAGGTGCTAAAAAGCGTTTCTACGCCTGCCTAATATACAGATGTCAGAAGGTGGAGTCTTCTGTGCGAGACCTGACATGGAGTTCCTCAAGAACTCAAGAAAGAAGAGCCACAATTAGCATCCCAGCAAATATCACAGTAACAGACGCACCCTGCTAACCAAGCTAGCTAGCTCCTCCCTCTCGTCCAAATATGGTCGCGTCTGGCCCAAAATAAAAAGCGTGAACACTCTGCAGTTGGTTACCGGTCGGCCTCGTCCAGGATGAGCCAGCGAACGGCGCTGAAGGCGATGCTCAGGGTGTTTCTGATGTGATCCACCAGGCGGCCCGGAGTGGAAACCAGGATGTTGATGCCTTTACGCAGCCTGAGGAGAGAGAAGGGGGCGGGGTCAGTCCAGCAGGTTAACGTGACTCTGATCTCCAGAGGACCGACTCTCTGATCTTTGCTCTAGCGCCTCCTGCAGGACAAACTTTACATGTTCAGCTGTAAGAACAGGTGAAGGATCAGGATGCACAGTAATCTCTACAACCTCTTCCAGGACTCCTGGAAACTCAGCAAGGGCTCCTTTAAACCCTCAAGGACCTCCAGAACTTCCTCAAGCACCTTCCCCATTTCTCTAGCTCAAGGCCAATTAGCAGGAGAGTACCTGGCCTTCTCCGCTTTCCTCTTCTCTCCTCCCATCAGGACGCCCGGGACGATCCAGGTAAACGGCTACAGAGAGAGAGAGAAACAAAACACCTGAGATTTATGTGACCCCGCCCCCTCAGCACTGTTGCCATCGGAGACGGTTATGTGAAAAGTCAGCTTCAGTAAGTGTCGGCCTGTCGGTGGACGGACTGAGCGCTGAGGCTTTATTACCTTCAGAAGCTTCTGGAAGGTCTGAAAGGTCTGCTGGGCGAGCTGAGGGACAGAGAGAGAGAGAGACAGGAAGTTAGTCAATCGTGTTCAAACGGGTGAAACTGCTGCTGAAGGAAGCGAGTGCGTCATCAGGACGAACCTCTCTGGTCGGGACGATGACCACAGCCAGAGGACCGTCGGACCTGCTGATCTTCGGCTGAACCGCCTGCAGACTCTGGACCACGGGGACGGCGTAGGACAGGGTCTTACCTGCAGAGAGAGACGCAACCGTCAGGGGCCGCTTTCAGTACAGCAGAGTCAGTTCACGTTTGAAGTGAGCGTATTAGAGTCTCACCTGATCCGGTCTGAGAGCGAACCACAGCGTCTCGTCCTGCCAGCAGCGCCGGGAACGTCTGTTTCTGAACACTGACACACACAGACCACAACGCAGAGTTAAAGCCGGAGGTCCCAGAGGCCACGACCCCGTAAAGCTGCGTGAACTCACCTGGTCACTGTGGAAACATTCAGGACTTTGTTCAGCGTCGCCACCTGGTGGACAGACACCAGCCAATCAGAGCACAGAAGAGCACGTTGCAACACTGCAGCAGGTAAATAGGATTTCTTATTCCAAGGTGAAAGCCGTGAAACTCATTCTGTAGTTTTCTTCTTCTCTGAAGTCCCACAGCGGCTGATAAAATGGTTTGAAAATAATTTCTCTTGTAGATTTGTGATAATTGTTTCCCTGAAATTTACCACGTTAATATCTCAGATTATTGAGATTATATTCGTGGACCTTTCATGTTGATCATCTTACACATCAAAGAAGAGTCCATAAAATACATAAAAGAGATGTGAACTACAATAAGAACGCTGGGAAGAACATCTGTCAGCCGCCACGGTCTTAGATTTAGACGTTAACGTGTCTCTGAACTCCTCATATCCTGACACACCATCAGCCTGCTCTGTCTCAACCACCTCATCTTATCCTGCGGCGGCGGCGCTCAGAGTTTGTGCAGGTCACAGGTGTGTCTGTGCTACCAGGTGTTACCAGGTGTTACCAGGTGAGGGTGCAGGTGTGTCTGTGCTACCAGGTGTTACCAGGTGTTACCAGGTGTTACCAGGTGTTACCAGGTGTTACCAGGTGAGGGTGCAGGTGTGTCTGTGTTACCAGGTGTTACCAGGTGTTACCAGGTGAGGGTGCAGGTGTGTCTGTGCTACCAGGTGTTACCAGGTGTTACCAGGTGAGGGTGCAGGTGTGTCTGTGCTACCAGGTGTTACCAGGTGTTACCAGGTGAGGGTGCAGGTGTGTCTGTGTTACCAGGTGTTACCAGGTGTTACCAGGTGAGGGTGCAGGTGTGTCTGTGCTACCAGGTGTTACCAGGTGTTACCAGGTGAGGGTGCAGGTGTGTCTGTGCTACCAGGTGTTACCAGGTGTTACCAGGTGTTACCAGGTGTTACCAGGTGAGGGTGCAGGTGTGTCTGTGTTACCAGGTGTTACCAGGTGTTACCAGGTGAGGGTGCAGGTGTGTCTGTGCTACCAGGTGTTACCAGGTGTTACCAGGTGAGGGTGCAGGTGTGTCTGTGCTACCAGGTGTTACCAGGTGTTACCAGGTGTTACCAGGTGTTACCAGGTGAGGGTGCAGGTGTGTCTGTGTTACCAGGTGAGGGTTACCAGGTGTTACGGTGAGGGTGCAGGTGTGTCTGTGTTACCAGGTGAGGGTGCAGGTCCAGGTCTGAGAATGAGTCAGTGGTGAAAATCTTCTCCTTTAACTGAGAGACAACAGGTCTGAAGGAGGGAGGGAGAGAGGAAGGAAGGAGAGAGAGAGGGAGGAGAGAGAGAAGGAGGGAGGGAGGGAGGGAGGAGACAGGTTGATTAGCGACAGCTGAAATATCCAACAGAATCGATCGGTGATGCTCGAGGCTCTGATATGAACCAATCAGAACCTGAGGCCGGTCTGTTCGGCCAATCAGAAGAGGAGCTGCGTACCTGTGGAACTCTGGGATCTCTGGGTTGTGTTTGAACAGAGAGGAAGTCTTGATGCCGCCTCTTCCTGTTTCCTTCCCTCCCTCCTTCACCTCCTGCTGCTGCTGCTGCTGCTGCTTCTTCTTCGGTGGTGTCCGCCTGTCTGTCTGCTCGGTGGGCGGAGCCTGGAACAGAGTTCATCACTGTTATCAGACAAGGCGTTAAGGATCAGACAGACCGCCGATCGGTGCGACAGGTGCGAGCAGTGTTTACCTGAAGAGGCTCCTCCTCCTCTGCTGCGTCACTGAGCTGCACTCTCCTCACCTTGAAGGAGCCGCTCTTCTTCTTCTTCTTCTCCTCGGAGGAGGAGGAGGAGGAGGAGGAGGAGCTGAACGGCCTCTTCTCTGCTCGCTGCTTCTTCTGCAGGTCAAACAGAAACAACCTAAAGTTTGTGTCGCAGCTAGAAACCAGACGGCTGCTCGCACAACGGGACCCGTTAGGAACACACAGCGTCATGACGCTCACATCAACGAGGGGGAACTCGGCTGCAGCGTCACATTTTAACACAGCGAGGAGGAAGGAAAGGACGCAGGGAAGGAAGGAGGGAAGGAAGTAAAAGAATCAAATATCTGATCGATTCCCGTCCAACAGATTCAATCAGGAATGAATTTCAGGGTCCATCTAAAGAGTCGTGGCTTGGGATGGGTTCTGAACCCCGGTATGAAACGGGCCCCTGGGCCAAATTATGACAAAACAAAAGGATATCTATCTGGTGACGCTCCCTCCTACATGCGGGATCTGCTGCTCTCCGAGGTCTTCAGGCCGAGACCTTTTCACTATCAGTCTATAAAAGTGTTTAAAACATGCTGCTAAAAACAGCTTCTTCCCGTCTGCAGCCCCCCCCATCAACCCACCGACACCCACCCCCCCCCCTTCAAATAATACAAATGTCTCTGCACGTGTAAAAACTGTTTCATTTCATATCGTTGCACAGGCCCGCCACACTGCACATATTTATTCTTCTCTATTATTATTTAACACAAACCCGGAGTAACCACATGTAAATATCTCCCACGCAAATTGTTGTATTATTCTTTTATAACTTGCTTCTGTTTATTCCATATATATATTTTTACATTTATTGAACTGTATGTTCGTCTGCGTGTAGCTCGTCGTCTCTCGAGCTTTGTTCCTGTAAAATACTGACTGGTAATAAAGCTCTTTATGACTCTGCTGTCTGCTGTATTTAATGGTTTCTTTTATTAATCTCACATTCCAGGAAATCAAAAAGTAATTCTGCTCTCTTCAGGGGGTTTCTCTTAAAAAAATAACAATAACAACACAGATAAAAGACCTGGATCGATAAGCAGTATCTGATACGCGTCTGGACTCGCGGCCACAAACAGAAACAGAAGATAATGAGTTTGTGTTTGTCTGATGACATCTGGTCAAATCACAGCCTGAGTCTGAACACCGTGACGCACCGACGGTCACTGAACCAGATCCAAAGGCCAACACGGACATGTGATCTCAATATGAACCAGGTGCAGCTGCTGGTCTCATGTGTGTTCAGTCAGGTATGAGGTGATAAAGTACTCTGCAGTACAGATACTCACTGTGGCCCATCTCTGCTGAGCGGTCAGAGGCTTCCTCCTGGGCGATGAAGAGGAGGAGAAGCTGCTGCTGATGTTCAGACACAGCTGGTCCTCTGCTGACGACATCATCACCTGATCCACAGGTGGACACAAACACAGTCAGCTTATTTAACAGTTCATTTGGTTCAAACCAAACTTCGTTCAATAACGAAGCAGTTGTAAATTTAGCAGATTATAGCGGAACTACACTGCATTTTGCAGAAGTGTAGTGAAGTGATGTCTCCAGGTGTTAGATGAACAACATGATTCAGTTACAGTATGCAGCAGTTGTAATCAGCACCAACAGTTACTTAGACCAAGTGCACTGACTGTATCAAGCATTACGACGCATTTTAATGTCAACACATCAAAAAGCTATGATTTGATAAAAAACACAGAGGGCTGGTCTATTTGACTTGTGCCGAACTGAAGAGCGGCCGTTGATGTTGTCAGGGGTTCATCAGGATGTTTTATTACCTGTGTTCACTGTCCGACAGGTGAGCAAACGTTAAAACTGACTCGTTTCTGACCGGAGTCCGGCGTGACGCACAGAAACAGCAGCCTGTAGCAGCGTTAGCTCAGACTTCAAGACAGCAACGAAGCGCAGATGACAAAATGTCTCACAAGAAGTTTGATGGTGTTAAAGTTCCGCAGATTAACCACATGAGCTCCACGCGCGCGCACGTGTTTCTGTCTGTGCGCGCGTGTTTGTGTGGCGCAGCGGCTAATGCTAGCCACATGCTAACAGCAGCTGCTCCGGTTTGAACTTTGTGAGGAAAAACTTCAAAACACGTTAAATCAGAACAAGTAAAAAAGTGAACAAACTCACCGCGAAGCTCCGGAGATCACAAACACGCGTGTGGGGACTCTTCCTGGTACGTCACGCAAGCCCCGCCTCCTTCACAGCTGATTATGTGGACATGCGCAGTAGCTTCGCATCTTATTTTGAAAGTTTCTTTTGTTCTAACAGTGACAGGAAATTATTTGTTGTGCAAAAACTCAAATATGAACATTTGACTTTATAACTTTAATAAATGTTCATGAATTATTGTTGATCACAAACAAACGAACAAAAAAATAAATAGAACTACAAAAGCTTGTTGATTCAGTCATCAGGTTGTAATTCACCGGGGATATAATAAAGAGGGAACAAGAAGTATACAGAACAGTATTTAAATACAAGTATGTAAGAAGACACAAATAATAAACAGTAGTCTATATGATGTAAGGATATTTAGAGAGATCTATGTGTTGTTGGATTTAGAAATTAAATTGATATAATGTACAACCTCATGGAGGAAAAGAATTTACATTTATTTATGTAAAATTTCACCATTGGAATTAATAAATGTATAAAGTAGTTGTTTTCTTTTCTCTAACTTTAATAAAAGTGAAATACAAACAACAGTTTGTATTGATGTCTCTTCTTAAATTGAACCATGTCGTGATTCACAGGCTGATATTTCTGTGAATCATTCTACACGACTCGTCCTCCACATCAGCTACTTGTGAGGAATCATCCAGACTTTTTTTCCAGTCAGTGTCGTTTACAAATCGGTTCTAATTCCTCAGGGAGAATTGAACAAATAAATGGATTACAACAAACCGTTGTCTCTTGGTATTTATTAGAGGAGAAAAAAACAGAGAAATACTTGGAACAAAACTCAGCTGTGTCAGTTTGCCACCTCGGGCAGTATCAGACATACTGCTGCCCCGAGCAGCCAATAAGAACAAAGAGGCATAAGACACAACACACAAACCCCGGCATGTCCTAGTGGACAGTACAAGTACAGAGAAGGTGTATAAGTACACATATAATTATCAGCATGAATTATAAGATAGATCACCACAGATACAAGTTATTTGTGAAACAACACACAGCACGTTATTTTATTGCTAATGTCGAGGATGTTGACTCAGCTGGGAAGAGAGAGGGAAGCAGGTGGAGGTCTGCCTGTATTTCTAAAAAAGTATTATAGTGCCTGATGGAATGGCCTCAAATAAAACTGAATTTCTTTGGGTGTAACTGGAATATTGTATGTTGATAAAAACTCTCTCCACTGAACAGCTGGTTCACCAGCAGAATCTGATTCTGCTGAGTAAAGGTGATTTGTTTTTAGACACCTGTGAGGTGAGACACTGTGTTTATAGATCCAGGCCATGCTAAAAGTAGACTTTCTGCATTCATATCAGCTGTTATGTTCTGTGTTTTTATTCTTTAAACTTAGTGAAGAATAAATGAAGCGGAGGTTTTTTCCGTGTCTGCAGACAGCAGCAGCTGCTCTCTGCTGGTCAGTGTCGCGCTCACCGTCAGGGATCAGAGCTGCAGAGTAACTATAAAACCATTTTGAGGACTGGACCAGAGGCCAGTCAGACCTATGAAGACCGCCAGTCTATAATTACATGTGAGCACAGCCCAGATGAGACACCAGACCAGCAGAGTCCAGCTTGGCTTGATGCTGGGTTTGGTGCCTTGCTCAGAGGCTTCAGTCTCTGCAGGAGATGAAGACAAACTGTCCGTCATCACATCAGCAGCTGTCACCTCCCATTTCCTTCCCGCTCCGCTTCCTGTTGTCCACAAGAAAACTTAAAAATAGAGCTGTCAATCAAACGGTGAGCCCGGCGCCGCTGGGACTCAAACCGCCGCTCAGGAGGATTAATTATAGTCATTTACCCAAATCAGCACTTTGAAACGTCCGTGTGATTGAGCGTGTTGTGAAAATGAGCTTTCAGTGATCGGCGGCTCGGAGGCGCCGCAGGACGGAGGGTTCTGAAGTAAACGAGATATTTTAACATGAAGGTTTGAAGTAAACGTCCTAAACTGTGATAACTGCTTTTAGATCAGAGGAGCTGCTGACAGAGAAACATCAGCTGCTGTCACTCACAGAGGCTCGTTAATAACAATATTCAGACAAACAGAAAGTACTCCTGACTGTCTGACTGACTGTCTGTCTGTCTGTCTCTGGACCCATCCTCAGCCTCTCAGTTAAAGGATGATTACAGGTTTTTACAGCTTGGGGTTTATTTTGATAGTTTCCTTCAGTTCCAATAACGTGAAGTACTCAGATACTTTACTGCAGTAAAATCAGTAAAACCCCTCTGTGCCTGCTGTACTATAATATATTCTGTCATCAGATCATTATTCCTCAGTGCTCTTAAGCCAGTGGAGGTGTCCCCTCCCCCATCACCCCCACGTGGACTCCTTCCGCTTCCTGGGCACCATCATCACCCAGGACCTCAAGTGGGAGCAGCAGAGGATGTACTTCCTGTGGCAGCTGAAGAAGTTCAGCCTGCCAAAGACAAAGATGATGCACTTCTACACCGCCATCATCGAGTCCATCCTCGCCTCCTCCATCTACACCGCCATCATCGAGCCCGTCCTCGCCTCCCCATCTACACCGCCATCATCGAGTCCATCCTCGCCTCCCCATCTACACCGCCATCATCGAGTCCATCCTCACCTCCCCATCTACACCGCCATCATCGAGTCCGTCCTTGCCTCCTCCATCTACACCGCCATCATCGAGTCCATCCTCACCTCCCCATCTACACCGCCATCATCGAGTCCATCCTCGCCTCCTCCATCTACACCGCCATCATCGAGTCCATCCTCGCCTCCTCCATCTACACCGCCATCACCGAGTCCATCCTCGCCTCCTCCATCTACACCGCCATCATCGAGTCCATCCTCGCCTCCTCCATCTACACCGCCATCATCGAGTCCATCCTCACCTCCCCATCTACACCGCCATCATCGAGTCCATCCTCGCCTCCTCCATCTACACCGCCATCATCGAGTCCATCCTCGCCTCCTCCATCTACACCGCCATCATCGAGTCCATCCTCGCCTCCTCCATCTACATCGCCATCATCGAGTCCATCCTCGCCTCCTCCATCTACACCGCCATCATCGAGTCCATCCTCACCTCCCCATCTACACCGCCATCATCGAGTCCATCCTCGCCTCCTCCATCTACACCGCCATCATCGAGTCCATCCTCGCCTCCTCCATCTACACCGCCATCATCGAGTCCATCCTCGCCTCCTCCATCTACACCGCCATCATCGCGTCTATCCTCACCTCCCCATCTACACCGCCATCATCGAGTCCATCCTCGCCTCCTCCATCTACACCGCCATCATCGAGTCCATCCTCGCCTCCTCCATCTACACCGCCATCATCGAGTCCATCCTCGCCTCCTCCATCTACACCGCCATCACCGAGTCCATCCTCGCCTCCTCCATCTACATCGCCATCATCGAGTCCATCCTCGCCTCCTCCATCTACATCGCCATCATCGAGTCCATCCTCGCCTCCTCCATCTACACCGCCATCACCGAGTCCATCCTCGCCTCCTCCATCTACATCGCCATCATCGAGTCCATCCTCGCCTCCTCCATCTACATCGCCATCATCGAGTCCATCCTCACCTCCTCCATCTACACCGCCATCATCGCGTCTATCCTCACCTCCTCCATCTACACCGCCATCATCGAGTCCATCCTCGCCTCCTCCATCTACACCGCCATCATCGAGTCCATCCTCGCCTCCTCCATCTACACCGCCATCACCGAGTCCATCCTCGCCTCCTCCATCTACATCGCCATCATCGAGTCCATCCTCGCCTCCTCCATCTACATCGCCATCATCGAGTCCATCCTCGCCTCCTCCATCTACACCGCCATCACCGAGTCCATCCTCGCCTCCTCCATCTACATCGCCATCATCGAGTCCATCCTCGCCTCCTCCATCTACATCGCCATCATCGAGTCCATCCTCGCCTCCTCCATCTACACCGCCATCATCGCGTCTATCCTCACCTCCTCCATCTACACCGCCATCATCGAGTCCGTCCTCGCCTCCTCCATCTACACCGCCATCATCGAGTCCATCCTCGCCTCCTCCATCTACACCGCCATCATCGAGTCCATCCTCGCCTCCTCCATCTACACCGCCATCATCGAGTCCATCCTCGCCTCCTCCATCTACATCGCCATCATCGAGTCCATCCTCACCTCCTCCATCTACACCGCCATCATCGAGTCCATCCTCGCCTCCTCCATCTACACCGCCATCATCGAGTCCATTTCTCTTCTCTAATTTTTAAAATCTTGTCAATTTAATATTTTAATATTTTACGTTTTTTGTCAAGAACCAAGTCACCAAAGCAAATTCCTGCCTGGCAATAAAGCTGATCTGGTTCTCACAGGTACAAACACACGATGATCTCTCAGACCATGATGCATTGCTGCAGATTAAACACCTAACCCAGAGTGTGAAAGCACCTCAGAGCATGTTGAAGTGTCTCATCCTCGTCTGATGAATATTAAAAAATAAACGTTAGGTCCATCACGTCTGCACAGTGACTGAAAGTGACGTCTGTCAGAAATGTTCCTCAATTATTAAAAAGAAAATTCACCTTTGTGAAAACAGCTGAACACAGCTGACCTCTGAGACGTGAGCAGCTTCTAAAGACGGCGTTCGCCTGAGGCGACGTTCCTGCAGGCTGACACACACATAACAACACACACACACACACACACTGTGTGAGGGTCAGAGGTCACTAACAGACTGGAGCTTGTCTCATTCAGAGCTGGAATACTGCAAGAGTTCGGACTTCATTACCCACAAGCCCTGTGCCGTGAGGACGAGGAGAGGGGGCGCCAAGGTTAACCAGAAAAATAACTGCGTGTGAAAAAGCATTTTTGTTACTGAAATTAAAATAAAAACGAAGCTGCCACTGTGTCGTCTGTTTGCAAAACTAACTACAATAAGCTAAAATTACAGTTTTCATCTTTGTCGGTTTATTTCACGGGGCGACATGAATCTATCTATGGATCTATCTTCCAGTTTCTTAGCTGTGCCAGCTTTTTAGTCCACGCCCCTCGTCTGATGTGGAGGCGGCAAAAGCCTGGAGAAAGTGATGAAAGAGTCCCAAAGACTGAAACTGATAAACAAAAAGTGAAATAAAAATAAAAATAAATGAAAAGTGCTAAAGTATATTAACCCAGGGACACACCCGGAAATTTGCCCCCCAAAATATTTGACGGCAGTGGTTGAATGTAACTAAGTACATTTATTCAAGTATCGTACATTCATATAGTTTTGAGGTATTTACTTTCTGCTTGTACAGCACAAGTGAATGTTTTCCTGCACCACATTTATCTGACACACCTGCACAGATGTTTTCAATCAGGCCTCTGTTCAGGTGGATGATGGGTGGAGCTGTGCTGGAAATGACGGGATGTCACTAAGAATAATTTAAGCACGTGTTTCTGATCACTGTGTACTTTTACTAAAGCTCTGTGTTCACGAGAAAGACCGACACCATGGAAGCTGAAACATTTATTTCTTTTAAAACAAACCGAGAACATTTAAAATAACGGTTCCTCCTCTCCCTGGGTCCATAACCTGCATCCAGGTGTGTGCAGGTGTCAGTCAGCTGTCAGCCGGCTCTCCAAGGCCTCAAACACAGAGTGAGGATCCCGATCAGCATCAATCAGAACTGCATCTGGATACACAGACTGTAAACACACAGAGTGAGGATGATGTCAGCAAACGTTCCTCCAACAGGAGGAAATAGAGCATTTGCTGGGACTACTTTCAGCGGCGGATG